AAGAAACACCACAGGAACAGCCCCTGCAGAGGGTATGTTGCCTTCTGCTAGGATGGATTTTCCTGGTACAATGTTTTTTATTTTTTTTCTTTGATTTTTTTTTTTTGGACAGGCAGAGTGGACAGTGAGAGAGACAGAGAGAAAGGTCTTCCTTCTGTTGGTTCACCCCCAAAATGGCTGCTACGGCTGGCGCACTGCGCCAATCCGAAGCCAGGAGCCAGGTGCTTCCTCCTGGTCTCCCATGCGGGTGCAGGGCCCAAGGACCTGGGCCATCCTCCACTGCCTTCTCAGGCCACAGCAGAGAGCTGGCCTGGAAGATGAACAACCAGGACAGAATCTGGCGCCCCGACCGGGACTAGAACCCGGGGTACTGGCGCCACGGGCAGAGGATTAGCCTAGTGAGCCACGGCGCCTGTTGGTGCAATGTTTTTTCTACTGAGAAAGCAAAGAAGGGGGTTGAGCTACACAGTCAATCCCGAGACGCTCTGGGCTGGGTGAATGGGGTATCACTGAGGAAGCTTCTGCACACCAACCGTTTCGGCTCCTTAACACTGAGACCTTGGAAAGAGGAAGGCATTTCTCCAAGTACTTCCTCTGGAGTCCTGATAGGCTGCCTCTTTACAAAATACAGACGTTCAGTTTTGGAGATATCAGCTGCTGAATCATTTGCATTGCAGTCAGCTGCTAATTATCTCTGCTTCTGCCTGCACTTGAGACATTAGAGAAATTTATAGTGAAGTTCAAAGACCATCTCGGTCTTGAGCAACAGATTTTCTTATAAAAGCAGCAAATTCATTTAAGCATTTAAAATTTAAGCCTCAAATAAAAACATAATCCTTACTATTTTATTAGTTTCTTTCATTACATGAAACACCCATGCTTTATTATTTTAAATGTTAAGTAATATACAAAAGAAAACAGTAAAAAGAAGACTTTGTTCCATCCTCACAACCAGAGTCATTTTTAACAGAAGTTCCATCCTGCCTTAAGATAAGGCATTGACTACTGGAAAGGTGGTCTGTCCCTCCATCCATCTGTCTGTCTGCCTATCCTCCGTCGGACTGTACTGTGTGCACTTTCTCTAACCTACCTTTGGCATTACTGATTCATCTTGGATATGTTTCCATATCTGCTGTAACTCAATATTTTAACAGTGTGTGAACTCCATTGTTTAAACTGCTATCTTGATGTCAAAACGGGAAGTTCCTCAGTGAAAAGAAAGGGCTCATCAGATCCCACCTAAGAGGACTGTATCCCTTCTGGGTGCTTCCCAACTGCTCGTTTATTAAGGGCGGCACATAAAAACCCTGCACAGTGTTGTAGGGAGGCCCATGTAAGTCTGGTTCCCTCTCCGTAGACAGCGCCTTTCACAAAGAACTGTGAAATACTCACAGCTCAGGGACTCTCACCATCCCAGCAGCGCCCCCCCAAGGCCCCACAAGCGTGCGTGCCTTTCCCTCCGAAATGTGGGGCTGAGGATCTGTAATCAGGGCTTCAGCCTCACGAAGCCTCAGGCTGCATAACAGGGGCGCCCCGAATCTGAGGGGTAAATCACAGGGCTGCCCGAAAGGCGGGGCAAACAGAGACTCATCTCACACCTGGCATTTCAGACGACTACGTTGCCTTTTCCAGTACCTAAGGCATTTGGAAACCCTGTAATTTTATCTTCCTGGCAACCTGCAATTTTTCATTTGTTTTTCTTTACTCAGTAACCCCAGGAAGCGAAGGCTCAGCGCGGAGCCCTGGCCTGCTTGCGGGCACTCGGTTTCCTCTCCTCTCTCAGATGCACCTTAGCTTTGTCTCAGACTCACAGCCGTGATGTGACACAACCTCAGTCAGCACGTGTTAGGAGACGGCACCCTGTGCCCCCTTCCCCCTGACCACTTTCGCTCCCGCTTCTCTTCTGATTCTGCCACCTCTAAATATTCATGCTTGCTTACGTGGCTCTCAAGTCTCCACCGCCCCACCCCTAACCGCGCATCGAGCGCTTCCTGTGCGTCACCCGCTGAGACTAGAAAGAGCGGCTGACAGTCCTGGAGTCTGAGATCTCAGCGCAGCACGGAGGGAAAGGCCCACAACCGCGAATCCCCGCTCACTGTGTCGAGATCTATGAAGAAGCGGTCATCGCTTGTGAGCCCGGATAAAAGGGTGGGTTGACAGGAGAGCAGCAAAGGCTTTGTCACTGGCCCCAAAGGCGGCTCTGGGGTCTCTCTCTGGCCCTCCCCTACTTCCTCTGCTTCCAGGGCTGCTGCACTCAATACTTTTCCGTCTCCCTTAAAGGAAACCAAACTCAATGTGGGCACAGATGCATTTTTTGCAACTTTGTTCCTCCAATATGTATTCTGATACTAATTAATTAAGCAGTAATTTTAATTAAATATTAATTAAATGTATAATTAAATATATTATATGATAATAATATAAATATTATATATAGTTATTAAATATATACTACTGAGCTTTTGCTCATGCCAAGGTCTCGCCTGGGAATTATGGGTAGAACAGTAATGGAAACACACCAATTTCTTGCTCTCACGGGACTGGCATCCAACAGTCAAGTGAACCTGTAGTCTTGTTGGTGGCAACTGTATTACAAATCACAGGAAAACAGGTAAAGGGATGGAGCAGAGTTGACTGTGAGTGACAGCCGTGGGTGTCTGTTTCCTGTAGGGCGCACTGAGGGAGGCTGTTGGGTGAGATACCTGCACAGAGACTCACAGCAAGTGACCAGGCAGGCATGTGGCCATGAGGACAGGCAGGTAGGTGCCAAGCGAAGAAGCAGGAGACACGTGCAGGTCCCCAGGCCGCACGCTTAAGGAGCAGCAAAGTGGCCATGTGGGCGGAGCAGGGAGGAGCAAATGGAGATGAGGTCTCTGGAGCGCGGGGGCTGGGGACCGGTCAGTGTGGACGTGGCAGGTGTTCGGCAGGTGCTCTGAGAGGGACATGAAGTGATCAGGGAATGGTGGGTGGCAGAGTGACAGGGTCTGGCTGCTGTGCCAGGACAGAGTAAGACTCAGACAAAGACACCAGACAGACAGTGTGGAGGCTGGAGGGACGTGGAGCAGGACAGGGCGGGAGTTGCCCGGGTCATGCCACGTGGCAGCCTCCAGGCCTTTTTCTTAAGGTAAAGGAAGTACCTGCTGATTCGCCACTCGGTATGATTATGTGCTTGTCAGAAGTCACAGACATGTTACCCACACTGGCCTGTCCGTCTCTGCAGGCTTCCTCCCCTCCCCCTTCCTCCTCCTCAGCCTCTTCTCTCTTCTGCTTTCTCTCTCTCTCTCTCTCTCTCACACACACACACACACACACAATTACAAAGATACAACACTCCTTGAAATTCCAACAACCTGCCCTGACTTGCGCATGGAAAAGTTCTGACTTCACAACAAGATGCAAACACGCTGATCACTCAACCTCCCGATGATTCATGATATAACCAAAACGGGAATTTTTGTCAGTGCAAGGCTCTTAGCAGGATACCCCCAGCTAGGGCAGCCTGAATTAAATCTAGGAGGTAAGGATCAATGAGCAGCACTCCGTGAACATGCTGTCTAAGTCCTGTAATGATCTAAGTGGGAAGTGGACATGTCTCGTAGCTGAAACACTCCAGAAAAGGCAAGATTTAACCTGAAAATCTCTCTCCAGTGCTGCAGAGAAGTGATCTATATTAGTGTGCAAACTCTTACCTATGTTTTAAGTTCTTTTTCCCACTCCCACGTGGGATACCCTGCACCTTCACCAGCATCTGCAGACAGGACACAGGCCTGCCTCCAGGTGCTCTTTCCTTTAACAACAAATCAGAGCCACTCAGGGAGGAGGCTTGGAAACCCCCTCTGGCCAAACTGCATCCCGGAAAACCCAAGTCTGAATCTCTGATGACACCTTGGGTGTGGGGTCTGGAGTTTGTGTTCCACAGCTGCCCCAAGATTCCACGTGCACTCGAGGTGGACATCCAGGGCTGCCCCCGGACCTCTGGGTGATGGAGACGTGGCTCCCTCTCTACTCTGCTGCAAGGCGAAGGCACGCAGCATTTCCTGTTGACTTGATAAACAAGTTAGACTCACGTTTGCTAATAATTCTTATGTTTTTCAAAATTAGTTTCTCATTTTTAAATTAGTTATGAAGATCACTAAATAAAATAACTTGATTTTTTCTTTTACATACATTTTCCCTAATTGAACCAGGAAAAATGTTTGCGTGTGAACGAAATATAATGTTTATGTATTTGGTTAGGAGTTCTTCATTTTTTATTCACTTAATCATCTCTGTCAAAAGAATACAAGGTACAGGGCAAGTGGGGAAGCAGGTTAAGCCACCACTGGGGACATCTGCATCCCACATCACAGTGCCTGGTTCCAACCAGGCTACCCCACGCTTCCAATCCAGCTTCCTGCTGTTGCGCCTGACACGCAGCAGATGAAGGCCCAGGGATCTGGGTTCCTGCCCTCTACATGGGAGCCCCACAGGGAGTCCCTGGTCCCTGGTTGGCTTTTGCAGGTATTTGGGGAGTGAACCAATGAGTGAAACCTCTGTCTTACACTATCTCATTCTGTCTCTCCCTCTCTATCCAATACTCTGCCTTTTAAATAAATACATTAGTATTTTTAGAAGAAGAATATAAGGTGGGTTTTATGAGCCAGGCCATTCACCGTAGAGTAAAATGTCATTAGTGCAGTAAAGGAGACTGGTGGAGGGAGAGAGGACGGTTGCCTACCACCGTATGAATGAGCCAACAGTATTTCACTCATTTGTTGGATTCTGTTCATCCTGAAAAGCACTTTCTCCAGAGAAATGACTCTACCTCCCTCTGTTTTAGGACATTTACAAAGTGCAGTGCAGAACTGGTCATGGACACAGCCGAGTACCCGAGTCTAGCAACCCGAAACATCATTTTCTGATCCTCCGTCAGAAGCGTGTTTTGTGAGCGTGTTGTCAGCCATGATCGGCCCCTTCTCCAGGAGTCACCGGGAATCTGCACCACACATCTCAGTTCTTACCAGGTGGAGTAAGCATCCGCCCGAGGACAGGAGGGTGTGCGGGTCTGCCCCTTCCTTCAGGAGCCGGAGCACTGAGGAAAAACAGAGAGGAAGGGAGTTACAGCCGATCTGTCTCCCGCACCCAGAACCGCGATCCGCAGCACCTCCTTGGTATCCAGGCCGCGAGCTGCCCTGAAGGCGGCGGGAGGTCACCCTCTGAGGTCACTTCATGTCTCCTGGTTGACAGCATTTTTCGTGGGCCACAGAATTAGCTAGTCCAGCCATGCAAATAAATGAGAAAGTGGAACAGACTTCTAGTTGAGAGTATTTTGACATGTACAGATTTTGCATCCTTTGCTGAATAAAAAAGAAAGAAATTACTGCACTAGGCTCCTGTGGGCAGGAGGCCACTGAATTTGTAAAGGAACGAAAGTTTACCATTTCCATCTTCACCTTCCTTTAGCACCCGAATTCTCAGCGAAGCTCCCACTTCCGCCGTGCTCACCAAGCACCATGGGCAAAGCCACGGGCATCCAAGTCAGCCGTGTCAAACAGATAAAATGCCAAACCATTAACAAAGCAAATTCATGCTGAACAGTGGCCCGTGTTCGTACCTGAAGGGCAACGGCGCGTTTAGTGGTACATGAAGCGATACACGCTTTGAGAGGCCGGCTGTGCTACAGAGTGGAGCTGGGAGACAGCCCCTCAGAAAGGCTCACCATTCCCTCGGGCGCTACTGTTAACAGCAGTGTCGTGGTTTTAGTAAGACATCGTTAGTGCACTTTCACAGGCACCCATCATTAAAGCAACTGTCATCCTTTGATTTGATTATAACAGACTGCATAAAATGGCTCAGATACAAACATGTACTTCATGGGGGCATACCGTCTTTCCATGAAATTCTGGTTACCTGAAGGCAGCTTGTTTTCTGTGGCACCCCAACCATTGTATGAGTTCCAGCGTCTAGTCTCTTACCATCTCCCCCGCCCCTTTTTTTGCCAGGCAGAGTTAGACAGTGAGAGAGAGAGACAGAGAGAGAGTTATAGACAGTGAGAGAGACAGAGAGAAAGGTCTTCCTTCCATTGGTTCACGACCCTAATGGCCGTTACGGCCGGCACTGCGCCGATCTGAAGCCAGGGGTTGGGTACTTCCTCCCGGTCTCCCACGCGGGTGCAGGGACCCAAGCACTTGGGCCATCCTCCACTGCCCTCCCGGGCCACAGCAGAGAGCTGGACTGGAAGAGGAGCAACCAGGACTAGAACCCGGCACCCCAACCAGGACTAGAACCCGGGGTGCCAGTGCCACAGGCAGAGGATTAGCCAAGTGAGCCATGGCGGCCCCATCTCCCCCTTCTAACTGCATACTGCAGAAGTGTTCTGAGCTTTGGCAGACACAGTTCCTCCTATAAGGCTTTCTGTCCAGGAAGTCTGTAGTTGCTGATGGCAGGTGCAGTGGGCATGCCTCCACCTTGGGAGCCAGAGCCACCCATCCACCACTGGAGGTGATGTGGTGAGAGGGGCGATCAGTCCTGAGTTCCATGAATCTGTTCCCTAAATCCAAGCACCTGTCATCAGAGAAGTCAAAACCCTCCCCTTCTCTCTAAACAAGAGCAAGGCCTGACCTGGCTTCATTGTTCATACAACCTGTTTTCCCCTGTCCCTTCCCAGAAAGGAATTCACAAAGAAGCACAGTCACGTCCATTCATTGACCAACGGATTCTCTTTTGAGACTGTTCTCTCTTCAAAGACTGAACTCCTTTCAGAGCCTGGGTTCTGTTAAGGTTTGGTAGTCACAAAATAATTCTCAAAGGGTGCAAACTTCTAGGGTCAACTACACCTGACATGAGATGCTCTGTTCTTTTGTCCCTGGAATGAGACAAGGGTGAGGCCCTTGCCTCCTTTGCTCCCTCCTGCATTTCCACCAACCATCCTGCTGTGTAGGATGGAAAGATTTTTTTTTTTACAGGCAGAGTGGACAGTGAGTGAGAGAGAGAGAGAGACAGAGAGAAAGTCTTCCTTTTCCATTGGTTCACCCTCCAATGGCCGCCACGGCTGGTGTACCACGCTGATCTGAAGCCAGGAGCCAGGTGCTTCTCCTGGTCTCCCATGGGGTACAGGGCCCAAGCACTTGGGCCATCCTCCACTGCACTCCCTGTCCACAGCAGAGAGCTGGCCTGGAAGAGGGGCAACCGGGACAGAATCCGGCGCCCTGACCGGGACTAGAACCCGGTGTGCCGGCGTTGCAAGGCGGAGGATTAGCCTAGTGAGCTGCGGCGCTGGCCAGGATGGAAATCTTTTCTCCCCCCCTTGCTCTGCCTCTCCCTATGCAGATGTAGAATCTATGAAGGCATCCATGCTCCCACACCTACTTGTTACCCTTAACTGGTAAAATCCCATCCACGATAAAAGCGAGTTCATTACACAAGTTTTCCAATGGTTTTCTCAGAATATAAAGAGCACTTTTTCCCTATTTTTTTTTTCCTTTTAGCAAATGAAATTCCTCACCTTCAGTGACATACTGTCTGCAGAGTGCATTACAAGTGCAGCACTTGCAACAGTGTGGTGTTACAACAGAGCGTGAGGTCGATGATGCCATGCTAGAACATCAGCAGGTGTGGTCAGACTGCACTGCGCATCCAGGCAATGAGTTCCATGTGCTAGGAACTGGGGGTTCCTGTCCTCTGGTCTGGGAGTAAACAGATGCATGGCCCTGCAGAGAAAGCTACCGCATGTCATGCCTCAGTTTTCTGTAAGTAAAACAATGGGCAGCTGCAGGAGACACTTTGTGAGGTATTGCCAGAACTATCCAGACACCCCCAGGCACTCGGTGAGTTCACCACCAGACTTCTGACAGTAGAATCACCACAACCAGTAAGCTGCATAATAAAACATAGCATTCATATTTTAAGGTTTATTCTAAATTTTCTTTAAACTTTCAGACCACTAAATTTCATTTTTTTAAATAGGGCTTTTTTTTGAAAAAAAAAATCTTACTTATTTTCATTTTGCTTGAAAGGCAGAGAGACAGGGAGACACAGATTTTCCATCTGCTGGTTCACTCCACAAATAGAAGCAACAGCAGGGTAGGCTGGGCTGCCCTGAACCCCGGAGGCAGGAACTCCACCCAGTCTCCCATCTGGGTGGCAGGAACCCAAGTCTACCTGAGACATCAGCTGCTGCTTCACAGGGTGCACTTTAGCAGCAAGTCGGATCAGCGGTGGAGTAGCTGGTATTCAATCCATGTCCAATAGGGGATGTGGACGTCCAAGCCACACCTTAACCTCTGCCAAATGCCTGCTCTAAATGTTGAATTTGGGGCCTGCACTGTGGCGTGGTGGGTGAAGCCACTGCCTGCAGTGCAGGCATCCCATATAGGCACCAGTTCAAGTCCCAGTTGCTCCACTTCCCATCCAGCTCTCTGCTGTGGCCCGGGAGGGCAGTGGAGGATGGCCCAAGTGCTTGGACCCCTGCACCCACATGGGAGACCAGGAGGAAGCTCCTGGCTCCTGGCTTCGGATCAGTGCAGCTCCAGCCTTTGAGGCCAATTGGGGAGTGAACCAATGGATGGAAAATCTCTCTCTTTCTTTCTGCCTCTCCTCTCTCTGTGTAACTCTGACTTTCAAATAAATAAATAAATCTTTAAAAAATGTTGAATTTAAGTGTAGAACATCCCGTTGAAGGATGAGCAGCTACCTTGTTAGGAAAAGGTGCACAAAGGCACAATGGAGCAGGCACAGAGGAGGGGGCACGGGAAGTGAGTCCTGATGGCCTCCATTTTCAACACAGTCTACTGCGTTGTAAGCTTACACCCCTGAATTTTTAGCACAGACATTAATGGTTTCACAGCTGACTCACAGCTGGCTCTCTGGAGCTGGGAAGGGCAGCTCCAACACTCACGGTGAGCAACCAGGAGTCGGGGGAGCGCCTCCTCTCAGTGAGAACCGGGGGGCCCTCCTGCCACAGAAGCACAGAGGAGCAAGCTGCTCCTGGCATCCAGACGGACCCCAGACTCCACCGTAGACAGGAAAGAGGTGGGGGCAGCTGCAGCCTTCTCTTTATTCTACACAGAGAAGGGCTGTTCACCAGACTGAACCAGTGAGTGCCACAGAGTACCCATAGCACTGTCCCCTGGTTACCATGGGTGAAGACGAGAATCAACTACTGATAAAATAAGAAAAAGTACATCCCTGTATGCACAATGGTAGCGTGAGCCAAACTCTATGACTCTGCTGAGAATTTCAAACAAAGAATCTGGTAGAAAAATTTGAAAAATTGAACTGCAAAGGTACCTAGGTATTAAGATATATTGAAGAAAATGTCACCTGTATAATAATCCAATTATAATGAAGAGTTCTGATTTAAAACACGGCACTTCTTTATAAAACTAACATACACTGGATAGTTGTCAGAGAGTCCTGGTCTAACGCTGCTGTAAGTACGTTACATGTAAGACCTTGATATTTCTCTGTGTTGTTGTGGCACCGGTACTACGATGAGCACTGCTTTACTAATGCAGAAACGGAGGCCCTGGCAGAGCAGGTGGCACTCAGAACCACAGGGCCCAGAACCCAAGCACATCAACAGCACTCCAGAGGCTGCAGTAGAGGGTCAGGAGGTCACACACATGGGCAGGCAGAGATCTCCCACCCACTGAAGCCAGCAGGGGCCAGAGCTGGGCCCAGGCTGAAGCCAGGAGAATTGAATCCAGGTTTCCCATAACGGTGGCAGGAACCCGGTTACTTTAGCCATTGCTGCAGCCTCCCCAGCATCTGCATCGGTAGAGGCAGGAGCCAGGAACTGTGACATGAGACTCAGGGGTCCGAGCCACTGAGCTGACACCCATTCAAAGTCTGCGCTCTTAACCCCACATCTCGAAATCACACCAGGAATCAAGATGCATTCCAGGCTGGCGCCGCGGCTCACTAGGCTAATCCTCCGCCTTGCAGTGCCAGCACACTGGGTTCTAGTCCTGGTTGGGGCACCAGATTCTGTTCCGGTTGCCCCTCTTCCAGGCCAGTTCTCTGCTGTGGCCAGGGAGTGCAGTGGAGGATGGCCCAAGTGCTTGGGCCCTGCACCCGCATGGGAGACCAGGA